CTTAACTCTCTTATTGAGCTATTATAAACACGGTCTGATGATTCTTTATTTCTCTCCCTTCTTCATATGTTGGGTATTTTGTTCTGTGCTCTTTTTAGGAGTGCTGCCATCTAGAGCAGTCCCTGTAAGATGCCCTGTAGAGGTGGTTTGTGGGAGGCAAATTTCCTCAACTTTTGCTTGTCTGGGAATTGCTTAATCCCTCCTTCATATTTAAATGATAATCGTGCTGGATACTATATACTTGGTTTGAGGCCCTTCTGTTTCATTGCATTAAGTATATCATGCCATTCTCTTCTGGCCTGTAAGGTTTCTGTTGAGAAGTCTGATGATAGCCTGATGGGTTTTCCTTTGTAGGTGACCTTTTTTTCTCTCTGGCTGCCTTTAATACTTTGTCCTTGTCTTTAATCTTTGCCATTTTAATTATTATGTGTCTTGGTGTTGCCCTCCTTGGATCCCTTGTCATGGGAGTTCTGTGTACCTCTGAGGTCTGAGAGGCCATTTCCTCCCCTAGTTTGGGGAAGTTTTCAGCAATTATTTCTTCAAAGACATTTTCTTTCCCTTTTTCTATCTCTTCTTCTTTGGGTACCCCTATAAGGCAGATATTGTTCCATTTCGATTGGTCACGCAGTTCTCTTAAAATTCTTTCATTCCTGGAGATCCTTTTATCTCTCTCTGCATTAGCTTCTCTGCATTCCTGTTCTCTGTTTTCTAGTCCATTAATAGTCTCTTGTGTCTCATACATTCTGCTTTGAAGTCCTTCCAGAGATTGTTTTATTTCTGTATTCTCTCTCCTTAGTTCTTGCATATTTCTCTGCAAGTCCATCAGCATGGTTATGACTTTTGTTTTGAATTTTTTTTCAAGAAGACTGGTTAAATCTGTCTCCCCAGGTTCCTTCTCAGGGGAAGATGTAGAAGATGTTGAAGCTGTCTGGGTTAGTCTTGTCTGGATCAAATTTTTTTGTCTTTTCATGTTGATAGGTGCAGTTTTGTATGGTATTGATGCGTCTGTCAGCTGGGAGAGCCTAGACTTTTTCCACTCGCTCCTGGCCTTTCGTTACTGGGACAACTGCGACCCCTAGTGGCTTGTGTTGGGTAATTGCATGTAGATTGGGTCTCTTTATCTTACCCGGCTGGTATGGAGGAAGCTCCCTTGCGGTGGGCGTGGCCAGCCTCAGGCTCTGCTCTGCTATGGCGGAGCCCCGAAGAAGTAATGGACGGGGGTCTGTTTGGCTGTTTACCTCTGTGAGGGGTCTCAGAGATGTTGCCCAGCTGGTTAGTGCGCCTGCAGTTCCCTGGAATTTCCAGCTTCTGGACTGTGACCCTGGATGCTTCTGTCCCACTGTGGAGTCCCTGTCCCTTTAAGACTTTCAAAAAGCACTCGCTTTTCTTTGTCCCTAGAGCGCCGGCTTTGGGATCCGCTCACAGGTCTTACTGTCCTGTTTCCCTAGTTTCCAGCACCCCACACACGCACTCTGTGTGCGCTCTGGTGCAGATGGCTAGGGCTGGGTGTTTAGCAGTCCTGGGCTCCCTCTCCCTCCCTGCTCCGACTCCTCTCCTCCCGCCAGGAGCTGGGTGTGGGGCGCTCGGGTCCCGCCGGGCTGGGGATTGTATCTTACCCCTTTCACCAGGCGCTGGGGTCTCGCAGGTGTGGATGTTGTCTGGCTGTTGTCCTGTGTCTTCTGGTCTCTCTTTTAGGGATAATTGTATTTGTTGTATTTTCAAAAATATAAATGTTTTTGGGAGGAGATTCCCGCTGTCCTACTCACGCCGCCATCTTGGCTCTGCCTTCTGCATTTATTTTTGTTTTTAATTTTTTCGGCTTTATTGAGATCTAATTGACATATAATATTGTGCAGTATGTCACAAGTTTAAGTATAATGTAATGATTTGATATATGTATATGTTGTGAAATGTTTGCCACAGGTTAGTTAATACATCCATCAGCTCATATAGTGCCAATTTGAGTGTGTGTTTGGTGAGAACTCCTAAAATCTGTTTTCTTCGCAACTTTTCAAATATGTGCTACAGCCGCCATGCTGTATACTAGACTGGGCAGAACTTACTCATTTTGTAACCTGAAGTTGGTACCCTTTGACCACCTTCATCCATTATCCCCACCTCTCATCCCCCACCCCATCCCTTGGCAACCACCAGTGTGTTTCAAAAAGAGCATATTGTACCTCTTCTCACTTAAAGAGAAAACCTGTTGATTGAATTGGCCAGTTACTTGATGAAGGGATTTCTGAAATTTAGAATGTATCCAATCTTGAATTTGAATACTTTGTTTCTAAATATAAAGTTGAAAATTAAGCTTTTTACATGAGCCTTGTATATTTGATTCTTTAGCAGATACCTTATGATAGTTCTGAAACTAGTGATTCAGAAAAGAGTATATATATGTATGTATTTATGAGAATATAGACACTCTGTACTAATTTAACTTTTTGCATTAAATTATGTGTTGTTTGCCATAGTTTCCCTTTATTAGTCCATTTGTATATTTATTAGTTGATTTTTTTTTTTTTTACTTGATAGAAATATGTGTTCATATTGCCAAACACAGCTGAAAACAACACTTTAATGGTCCTTCTGATTTCTCTATACAGCAAATTGCACAGAGTTTAAAAGATGAACAGAAGAAGGTGCCTTTAGAAGCTTCATTTTCAGATGTCCAGTTAGAAGAAGTAGAGTCTAATAATCTAATAAAATCTGGTATGTTATGATGTTTTTACTTCCAACTTTTATTCATTCATTTATTAAACATTTATTGAGGACTTATGTCCCAGGCATGAAAAACATGCCTTTGAGGAGCCCACACTTGAGGGAGGGGAGATTAACAAGCCACAGATATAATTCTGTGGTTACATGCTAAAGCTATGCTCAGGGCACTCTTGGAGGGAGAAGGGCAACAAAATTATGAAGGGAGATGAGCTTTGAGTGCAGGAAGGTGAGTTCACTGAGAAGTGTAGGTCTGTAAGCTGTAGTATTTATAGAGATGAGTATGAGAGAGCCAGGAGAAATAAGTTGTTTTAAGATAGATAAAAGAGCATGGAGGAAGGCATGTAGGAATGGAAGACCATGATTGCTTTGGGGTAGTCTTGTGGTTTGGTATGTTTGGATATAGGTTATGTAGGGAAGGATCAGGTCAGACAGGCCAGATTGTGATAGATGTCAGGTGATGGTCTTATGAACAACTTTGAACTTTTAGCTAATATAGTGCATAGGCATAATTGTACCACCAGATTTGCATTTTGTAAATGTATTAAGTGGTTGGGGCTAGGGTAAAATATTGATAGAAAAGTATGGGATAGATTGGACTAGGGTGCTTGTTATGTAAGGTGCAGAATTGTCCAAGAAGCACCCTGGGTACTCACAAGTTATCTAGACAGCAAGCTGGATGGGAAGTAGGGCATCCCTTCCATTCACTTGACAGCTATAAGGGAGACACCAAAGCTCAGCTCCTCATAGGACCAGCAGAGAGTAGGAGTTCCTGAAGTGGCAGCTTAAAGAGCCCCAGGTGCTCCTAACCATCAGGTTTAGGGCATCATCAGGTATTCTGAGTCAACTCTATGAACAGCTGATACCCTAATTCAGACTGCCGACCAGCCTGGGTCTTCCCTGCCTGACAAAGCCAATTGATCACTCTTGCCCAATAGGAAGAGAGACCCTCAGGGGAAAATTTCTTTCTCCGAAATAGAACCCATGCCTCCTAGTATAACTTTTGGTCTTCGTACATATCTTGTTCCTGGTAAACCTCTTCAAGAATTATTGGAGAAACTAGGGTACATTTCTGTCTTGTCAACCCTGGTCTTGTGCATTTTCCCTTTCCCCCGGTAAAGCCTGTCCTTACAATAAGGTATTGTTGGCAGAGCTGTAGAGCCTGGTGAGGAGGTGGTTGTGGTTTTCCCTTTGAAAGATAAAGGTAGTTTGAACCAGGGCATTGATCGGGGGAACGGAGAGAAGTGTATACATGAGAGATATGCTTAGAAGTTTGAATCTATAAACTTGATGACACACTAGATGTGGCAACTGAGGGAGACTGTGCATGTGGCACAACTGAGAGGATCTGTATCACATGGCTCTAGAGCTTTACTGCCCAACACAGTAGCCACCTGCCTTAAGCATGTGAAATGTGGCAAGTCTGAATATGCCAAGAGTAAGTAAATATCAAATTTTTTGAGGACTGATTGTGAAATGAAGAATGGAAAATGTCCTATTAGTAATGTCTCTGTTGATTATATGATGATGATGTGTTGGATATATTGGAATAAATAAAAAATATTAAATTACTTTCACTTCTTTTTATCTATTTCTTTTAATATGGCATTTTATTGTGTCACTTTTATGGCTCACATTATATTTCTGTTGGACAGTACTGCTCTAGAGCTGTAAAGAAGAGGACTGACTGGTTTGGAGATAAGGATTGTGGAGTAGTTGATGCTTTGGGCTTGTGTGAGATGGGAGAATAGAGCGGTAATAGCAGAAATCTGAGGAGAGAACCTTAGCAGATGCTGATGTTAAGGAGAAAATTGAGGTAGAGGGGTATCCTTGGCCAGCTGAGAAAGAACAGCCAGAGAGATCAGAAGCAAGCAAGGGGATGGGTTGTGATTGAAGTCAAAGGAGAAGGGATTGGCAGTGTAGCTTGAGTAAACAGGTGAGAAATAGGAAATCACAAAGGTATTGTGGTCAGAGTGTGGCGTGCTAAGATTTAATAATTAAGAGGTGGAATAGTTTGGAGTAATAAGAAAGCCTTTAGAAAGTAATTCTGAAAGAAAGTCATAAGAAAATCTATGGGGTCGGGGGTGCAGGGATTGAAGTGAAGGTTTTTGGAATTGAGAAGGTCAAGGACAACCATATAGTCACCCTGTGGTTATTGATTTACTCAGTGTGAATGGTGATAGAATTTGGAATGGAAAGCAAGAATGCGTCAGTTGGCAAGAGGAGCAAAAAATGAAGAATATAATCTTTTATATAATCTGGTTCTGTGGTGTGTTGGAAGTGAGAAAATGAGAAGCCTCCAAAGTGAGGGCTTTAAGTGACATGGTACTCATAAGGTAGAAGCAAATGTTAGGGCTAATGGTGGAGGAACCATCCTGTGAGGAGGCCAATTATCAGTATCTTCAAAAGCACAGGCTCTATTCTGTTCACAGGGAAAGTGAGAGGAGTGTGAGGCTCAAGAGGGTGGAGGAAGAAGACAACAGGAGGCTGAGGGAGAGGCCCTGGTATTGGCCTTGCTCTGCTCTTAAGAAGAGGCAGCTAGTAGGCACTTACTTTGAATGGCCTGCTATGTAAGTAATCTTCCCCTCAGTTAACTATTATAACTGTTACTCTTTTTCACAAGAAAGTGAAAAAATGAGCAAATAAGATGACTTCTGGCTTTAAAGTACTTAAATACATTTGCTTCATTAAACTTGTATTGGGGGGTATTTGGCTCTTTATTTTGAAGGAGAGATCCTGCAGATATTATAATCCTTAGCAGTACTATAGATACTCTATCCCCTCAATATTCTTTGACTTAATTTGTCTAGCTTATTCTTTTTCAGAAACTTCATTTAAAGTAGATATTGTAAAGTAAGGCCTTATGGAAGAGCTTTAAAGATTATACAAGTATTACATGCTTTTGGAAAAAAATTTAGCTTATAGAACTATAATGTGAAGACACTAACCCTCAACATTCCCTTCTTCCTTTTTCCCCATAAATCTAGTCCACAACCTCTAGGCTTCTTTCTAAGCATATGCAAACCTAGCTTTTTTTAAAAAAAGGAATTGAAAAAATTTCAAATACGCAAGTAGAATGATACAGTGAACACTTGTACCCACTACTTGGATTCAAGACTACGTCTTATTACATTATGTATATATATATAATTTTTTTTGCTAATTATTTTAAAGTAAATTATTTGACCTTGTTGCTGCTTCACCCATATGAGTATTTCAGTATATCTCCAAAAAATAACATCTCATATAAACAAATCATTACACTAAAAAATTTAGTAAGGTTTCCCTAATGTCCTGTAATACCCAGTTCACATTTCAGTGTCCTTCTTGTCCCAAAGTGTTATCCTAGCTCTACTTTCATGGTTCATTTGAGAACTCGGGTCTCTTGACCTGCAGGGATTGTGCTTTCAACAGTGTCTGCTCAGTCATGCCTCCAACCTGCTCCTCAGCTTGCAACACTTTCTGATGTGTCTTGAAGGAAGGTGGGTAGCTCTGGTCACTTGGAAATTGGATATGCTAAGTGGGCCTGTGAGGAAGCTCAGAGCATGGAAGGCAGGCTGTGGGTAAACCAGCTTTGATCAATCTTCCTGTTTAACTTTGCTTTGCTTTCTGGTCACTCCCCCCCTGCCTACTTTGGCTCCCACTTGCTTCCATATGACTATATATATAGATCTCCCTCTTTTAATGGCTGTACAGTATCTGTAATATATGTATATTATTCAGTTATTCAATAAAGATTATTGATCACAGTTTGGGAAAAGCAGTTTGGGTTGAGCATAAATTTGAGGCTGGAATGTGTGTATGTATTCATGTGAGTTGTCCCTTAAATCTCACCTGTCACTGATTTAAGGTTTTCATGGCATTCTTAATTCAAGGTGAAAGCTAGAAAAAGATAGGTGCCTCCAACTATTGATAATAATGAGAATAGTTTATAGTTTATGCAGATAAGACAAACCTCTGCACGTGTGAAATGTGTCTTTTCCATTTGGGTTTTTAGGTTCAACAGACTCTCTTAATCCTAGACCACAAACCACAATTTCTCCAGCAGATCTTCATGGAATGTGGTATCCTACAGTCCGAAGAACCCTTGTCTGTCTTTCCAAGTTGTACAGATGCATAGATGTATGTCTGTAAATTCTTGTATCTTTACTGTAAATTGCTTGCTATTTCATTAAAAATTTTTTAACTTTAATTTTAAGATCTTTATACAATATTTTATTTGGTATTAGATTAGAACGATAGTGATTTTTTAAATTGAAGAATCACTGATACACAATTTTATGTTGGTTCAAATGTACAACACAGTGGTTCAACAATTACCTGTATTATTAAATCCTCACTGCCTCTAGTGTGGTTACTATCTATTAATGTTACAAAATCATTGACTATATAGACTAATGTGATTTTTAGATACAGGGATAAGAAGTCAATCTAAGTTAGGGATTCTGAGTGTGAGCATTCTGTAGATCCTTAGAATCCCTTAATGGACCTTGGGGAGTCTGTTAACCCTTGAAGTTGTGGGCAAATTGTATGTTTGCATTTGTGTCTTTCTGAGAAGGGCTGTTGTAACTTTTATTGCTTCTCATAGAGGGTCTATGACCACAGATAGTTTAAAACTACTGGTTAAGTTATCTATTTTAGTTTATAGTTTTTCTTTATGCAAAAAGATTGTTATGTCCAGTGTCACATAGATATATTTTTTTATTAAATGCAACTACTTCAGTTTCGTTCTGTACTCAGTGTAAATCACCATCCAGTAGTACTGAGATTACATGTGTTTCTGACAATGGAATAATTTTAGTTATTTGCTGACCAACACCAACTTACACTGTGGATTGATTTTAGGTAACAGAGTTATTTTAGCATTCCAGTTTAATAATATGATTATCAATCCCAGAAAGGTCAGACTTGTCTGCATTTATTTACTGTTAGTGATTTGATGCTGAACCAAAGTAGTTTATAAAATTCAGAGGTTAAACAATTCACTCTTCAAATAAATTTGTTACAACTTGAACAGCATTTAAAGAGAGAAGTGATTTTAAATACAAGTCATATAATTAATTGTGCAGATGCCACTATAACTTAAGAACATGGTTCAAAAGAGGTACCTCCTCCCACTGTGGGGATGCTCCATACTCTGGGGTTCTCAGGGCTGCAGAAATGGTTTCTTGTTCTGCACAGTTGTTTCATTGGTTCAGTAGAGTGCACATTACTTGCATCTATTTTAAACTGCATAGTTAACTGGAGTTTGTGCTTGGAGATTTTGAAATTCAATCAGAAAGAGCCTTTTGCCACTTACTGGGCTTTTAGGAATGAGGACAAATCACCTCTGTGAAGTAGGTGTCCCAGCCTTTTTGCCCAGCTGATGAGGTGAAATCTCTTCCGGAGGAAAGTCTGGACATTGGCATCTCTTCTTCCCCAGGCTCCCCAGTATTCAATACAATAGGTGTACTGAATGATAGTATTAGACTGGGGTTCAGAAACCTGCTAGAGTGGAGCTAGATCACAAGGGAAATGTGCAAGGGGGCATAGTCCACATGGAACTCATTGTCTCACAGACTCTAGCAAAGCCTTTTAAGTGCTTAACAGGGATTTTAGCCCAACAGTAAGCCTAAGGATGTCAGTCTGTGTGTTTTTATTTTATGCCATAGGCCTGCCTATTTTTTTCCCACTTATCTTACATCCAAATTATATCCCTTTCTGTTACCCATCAAAAGTGAGGAAAGACCAATCCAATGAAAAACACGTTAGGGCTGAGCATGGGAAATGGAGGGTCTTAGTGTAAGCTGCCCATCTTCAGTCTTCTAAGGCTGGGTCAGTGATGACTTAGCAAGAGGCAGCCTGAATCTCTTCCTGTTACAATAGCCTCATGGGAAACAAGAGAGGGAGCAGTACACAAAGAGAATAATATCAATTATAAAAAGATAATGATATCAAAAAGTACGAGACCAGGGCTCAGAACTGTGGCCTAATAGTATTTTGCTCATGCTCATCCATATCAGTTCTATCTCTGTGGAATGCAGGTAGGGGAAAAGCAAGGGGACTGACCAACGTGCCATACCTTTGGGAAGAGAAAGAAATGGCACAATTAAATTAAGAGTCATACTTCATATAATATTTGTAATCTGATTTTCTTTTCACTTAGTTATGTTTTATAAGAATTTACTACCACCTTCAGCATTCCTGTGTTTCATGTGCAGTATTCTGTAATTTACATTTACTAGTATTTTATTTATTGGACCCCTCCCCATCATTGAACATGTATTTCCGTTTTTTTCTGTTTTAAATAATAATGTTATGAAGAGCTATGTGCATGAGTTTTACAATACAAAACTGATTAATCACTGGTAAGTGACAAAAGTGGGTTTACTGAGGCCTTGCTTTAAAGTTGGTTTTAAATATTTATAAAAGAGCCTACAACATGAGATCATATTGGAATGAAGCCTCTATGAGGTCAGAACCACATCCACCTTGTCCAGCTGCCACTGTACTCAAACACCATGCACAGAGCCTAGCATGAACTAGGTGCTAAGGAAATACTGTTGAAGGGTCCCATCGATGTTTTGCGCAGTGAAGATTATTAAACTGTGTTGGTCTAGAGAGGTTGCATGGGAATAGGAAACTCCAGGAGGAATATTGCCAGTAATCTAAATTAATCCAGCAGATGAGGGCAAGCAAGCATTATTCACTGCATGCACAGCCTAGATTTCCTTTCTCCTGTTGTGAAACACCCACCGCAAGGTGATGTTTCTCTTTTATTTCACCAGAGGGCAGTGTTCCAAGGATTATCACAGGAAGCCTTGTCTGCCTGCATTCAGTCGTTACTTGGAGCATCTGAGTCTATCAGCAAAAACAAGGTTTGAGGAAATGTTAGGTGAAATTTTGTTACCTGTAATATATTATGGAACACAGCCTTTATTTATAGTCACAGAAATTTAAAGCCATTTTGGCAGTAAGATTTGTTTGCTTAATATGATTTAATTCTGGAGCTCTTTGAGAGAAGCTACTGTTTCATTAGTGCTAAAAAAGACTATGCTGAATAAGAAGAGTGCCAGTTTTGCTGAAGTGCCAAAAAATGATACTTAGGTTATAAATTCCACAGGATAAAGTTTTCTTGTTATATATAGCCTTAGTACCTGGGGAGGTTGTGACTTCCCTGGAATACCAAAACAGTGTTTTCAAGGAAATGTAGCAATTTATGATCATCCCTACAGTGATGTTTTAAATAGTTATCTGGCCTTGCTTGGAGGAAATCAGCCAATTTTTATAGAAGGCAATTGTGCCCCGTGGATTGTGTGATTAGAAGCAGTTGCTATGACTTCATGACCTAGAGTTGTTATTCAAGAAGGGCTCTGGGGCTGAAGGCTGCTCCCAAGTCCCCGAGGATTTTTTTTTTAGGAAGTACAGCACAGTTGAAAGTGTTGCTCTGATTAACTCTGCTTAAATTACCTCAGGGAGAGAGCTCAGAGTTTTCCAGCCAAAATTTCTTTGTTGTTTGGAGTGTTCAAATCTTATAAACCGTTCTGGATTTCCAGATTTACCAACTTCGTTTCTAATTTTGAGGCTTTAGATAAAAACAAAACAAAACAAAACAAAACAAAAACCTCCCCACAAAAGAATCTGGGATCTTGTTTCTAGGAAAGCTGTGCCTCTGTTACCACTGCATCCTCCCATTCATGGAATGGAGAGTTGAAATGAAATTTTGGTATGGGGACTAGAAGAGGATGGCACATGAGACAGGCATATTTAAGTTGTAAAAAGTATTTCCAAGTCTGAGCTCTCACATTTCTTGTAATAGTTGAAATTGGGAAATGTGTCTAATATTAGGGAAATGGTTAAGTGAATTTAGGCAGATTCCATATAGTAGAATATTATACAGTCATTACATTAAAAAGAAAATAAAGCCTTAACATTTAACTTAAATATGTTAAGGCAAAAAAAGAAAAGCAGGCTACTATAAATTAGACATACTTTATCACTTTAACAATGTAATGAAAGCATGCATTAAAAAATTTAAGTGAAGGTGTTTAGGTGACTATGGATGATTTTTTTTCTCTACACTTTATTTTTCAGATTTTCTAGAGTGAGCATGTATTTCTTAGATCACCAGAAGGAAAAAATGACTTAATTTAAGAGTTCATACACTTATGTCCTTATGTACCAGTGTCCTCTTTTTTTAAAGGAAGGAGTGAAGAGGCTTTTGATTATTTAGTCTTTTGTTCTCATTGCCTGTAAGGCCATCCTCTTCTAATTCTGTTTCCCACATATTATAAGGGATTTAAGTATGTAAGAGGAACCCCTCAATTTGACAAGCATTTGCTAATTTATTTTCATGGCTGAGTTTGTGTACTTTTGCCCTTCAACTTTTAAAAAAATGTTCAAAAAAATGATTGCTTAATGTCTTAGAGAATTTTTTTTTTTGAGAATTTTTTAAGACAAGAAATTGATCTTACATACTTACATTGAGCACCTAGTGTCAAGAAACTCACATGATACTATTTGCTGGATTTAGTGAGTCCAGCTTTAGTAAAGTAGATTAAATCTGTATTACACTGTTTTTGTCTATTTGAGTTACTAGTTCTTTTAAAAATAGACCAAGTGTTCCAAATGTGTAGTGTTCTCTACTTTTCTAATGCTCTGTGTTCCAGGGTGCAAAATGAGTGAATTTCTATCAAATAAGTCACGCTTATATATTGATTCTGTGTTTATTTAGAATGGGATGAGAGAGAGAGGGGAGTCACTGTGTTTTCTAACCCCTGAAGTTTCTGTTGCTTGATGGCCAACTTTATTCTTTTCCTAATATAGTATAATTTCATTAGAAATATTTTCAAAGTAAGATTCTGTCTTGAGCAGCAAGAAAGAGCAAGTAGCAGCCATGTTCTTAATAATATGAAGACTTTTATGAAATGAGAACTGTAATTATTCACTGTTTGAGGTTTGGGTCAGAGCTTTGAGAACTAAGCTTGATGAATTGTAAGACTTTTGTGGGTAGGTCTCAGGAGGCAAAAATAAAGACAGTGGGTCTGAGAAGTGCTCTGAGTCAGTGTTCTGTTGGTGGCGGAGTGATCCAAAATGGTAATTCCAAGCCACACTTGAATTTGGAGGCTCCTTTGTACTTTTGTATAAGTAGGAATATTTCTGATACTCTGGGTGTAGAAACCACTTTGATCAGACAGTGAAAGCTATGCTACTGAAGATAAACTGGGAAGTCCTTAGAGATCATAATCATGCTCAGACTTTGACCTTTTCTTTCTTCCTGTTCTGTGCTGATGTTAGACTCTTGGATTTAGATCTCCTCTGTTTTTGTGCCAAGTTAAAATAGATTTGACTTCTCTTTTTAAATGTGTTGCTTTACAATCTTTTGTCAGATTAACTTTTTTGGATTTATAAAGTTGAGCAGGTGACAATAATTGTAAGAGTTTGAAGCAAGATTTTTCCTGGTCATTCTAACATGGGTAATATGAAAAGAGTTAATCGTGCAATAAAGGAGTATTGGTACCATGAAGTTAGGTTAGGGGCCATAAACCTAGGTAGATATATGCTGATTAAGAACATGCATGTTTTATATGCTCATATTTTTATTTAATCTGTGGTAATATCCATTTTTCTGTCTTACAATTTAGACTCAGATTGATGGACAACTTTTCTTAATTAAGCACCTTTTGATTCTTCGTGAACAAATTGCTCCATTTCACACTGAATTCACCATTAAGGAAATTTCCCTGGACCTAAAGAAAACTAGAGGTACTTTATTGTCCTGGCTGGCGCAATTGGGTTGTATTTGACTTGTCCAAATGTGTCAGCACAGGTTACAGGTTTATTTTATGTTCATCTGCAATTTTTTTGCATGCTGTGCTTGCTAAGCATGTTACTTGTTCATACTGAGCTGAGTTGTCAACATTCTAATTACATCTAACTTGCTGTATTTTCTTTATGAAGGGAACTATATCTGAGCATTTCAATTTGTAATATAGCATTATGTCTTTTAGATTCTGCCACATAATACCATAACCAGTTAAAAAATGAAAAGTTGTATAACTACTTACAGTGTCAGCTAATTGGGATGATTTTAAACACTGAATTGTCAATTCAAGAAAATTCAGGAAGCTAGCTGGATAAAATGGGATGAGTACTTATCTAAGAGTTGAAAAGAATTGGGTTATGTTCCTGCCCATCATTTCTGGACTCTTGTGTGATCTTGAATGATGTTTTAGCTTCCCTACTCCAAGTAAAATGAGGAGACTCAACTTCTCATGATACCTTCCCCAAGTTATTAAGATCATTAAGAATAAAAATTTTTGTTAGAAGCTTTATAAGCTTAAAATGCTTATAAACTTGTGATATTATTAAATCAGCTGGTTCTTAAGTAATGATACAGTTAGGGGTCTTTGAGTTAGAAATAGACATTGAATCATATTGGAAAAGATGATCTCAAGGTTATTCATCCATCCTGACAATTTATCTCTGATTGAATTAACAAGAGATGATTTATAAAAGATCGAAGTAGTTATTTCTAAGATTTTGGTCTTAAGCAGTTAAGGATATACTATAAATCTCCCTTTTTTCTCTTATTTACTTAGAAATTTATCTGAACTTTATCTTTTCTTAATCATTTCTAAGAGAATTAAGCTCTAATGCCTTCAGCCACTGTTTATGTAATGAATGAAAAATAGTCACTCAACTTATTTTTTGTATAATGTGGTTCAGAGAAACTCCAAATATAGGATTTCTAAGGGTAACAGGTTGCTGGTTCCCTAATAACTGTGCTTATAAAATAAGGAACTTGATTTAACTTACCTGAGAGCCAAATCATGAGGCATATTAAAGCATACTCTCTTTTCCTAATGTTCTCTCCTTTCTACTACAGATTCTGTTAGAATTTGGATAGTAAGCATAGCTATGTATTACTCATATACTTTGATTTTTTTTTTTTTTTGAACAGCAGGCATTATTTCTTGGCTTGTACCTTTTTGGAATGCATATTTTGTTTAGAGCCATTCTATCAGAGGTGTCCATCTCCCAACCATTCCAGTTGGTTTCCTTCTTTCCTTTTGATGAGCAGTGTGGGGTCAGTGCTCTAACCTTGAAGATTGCCAGTCCTTACTGGTAGTCCTTGCTTTATTGGAGGTGACAGGATAAATCAGGGCTGATCTACTTTCTTTCATGTTTCTTTTAATTCATAATTTGTTGCTGCGTGGTTCTTGTATAGATCCACTGTGGTGTGAGAAAATGAAATATCCTACAATTTTGGCAATTATTGGTATGAAGTATGTTTTCCCTGAAATATGAAACTTATGTAATCCTACCATACAGTGATTTGCTTCTGTTAATTGTAGTCTTTCATATGTCTTGTAGAAAAGACAACAGAAACAAAGAGCCGTTCACTAAAGCTTTACTCTGAATAGTGAATCTGATAGGTCTTTTTCAGTAAGTTCAGGGTCAAGGCAGTAAGTACTATGGTGGTGTGTACTTGGGAAAACCAGGGTTGGTAGACTTTCATGCTTTGTTTTCTCCCCTTTGGCAAAACAAAGCAAAGAAATGGTCTTTTCTGACTGTCCCTTAATACTTGCTGTCTTTACCTTTAAGCCTCTAATCTCTCACAACTAATTTTATATCTTATTGCATTTGAACATCAATGAGACCTCAGCTTGTACTTTGCATAGATCCTAGTCAGTCTGGAGGTTAAGGGGTAAATTTGTCCTTTTGGTGTTTTCTTTCTGGCTGACACATTAGTTTATTCACGCTGCTTCAAATGAATAAATTTCTGTGCCAGCCAGGATCTTAACAAAAGAAGTTGGGTAAGTATATGAATTTTTTTTTAAAAAGAGCCTATTTAGCATCGTAAAAGTAAAACAGTGCAATTTTAAGGTATCAGTTACCATTAATCATTTTAAAAATAAGCAGGTAATTAAGATTAATAGTCATTTCATAATTCTGACTTGTAGAAAATAACTATGTGGGATACTGTAGCCATGATGGGCACTAATCTCACCATTTATGGAGGTGAGTTGGTAAAAATGAAATGGCCTTTGCTTTATGGTTCTGGAGAGCTAGTGTATACTAACAAAATGAAACAGTAACTCAGCTTTTCTCTTGACACTGTACATGTTCATTGGATCAGTAATTTTGTTTCACAGATGCAGCATTTAAAATCCTGAATCCTATGACCGTTCCAAGATTTTTTAGGCTGAATAGCAACAATGCCTTGATAGAGTTCTTGTTGGAGGTGAGAAGGAGTCTGTTTCATTGGTGGTGGGAGATAAATGACATTCTTTACAAGTGTGGTAATTTCTAGGCACATAAAAACAGGAGGAAATTGTCATCTTCTTTTTAAGGGTACTCCTGAGATAAGAGAACATTATCTTGACTCTAAAAAAGATGTAGACCGTCATCTGAAATCAGCCTGTGAGCAGTTTATTCAGCAGCAGACCAAGCTGTTCGTAGAGCAGCTGGAGGAGTTCATGACAAAGGTATAGACCTTGGTGCATATTTGCTAAAGTAATATTGAATTCTTCCCTAGATTTCCTTTTAAATTATCCTCTTTTAAATTATCTGGTGGTATGAGATAGTAAGCCCAGGACTTAATAGTTCGATCATGGAAATTATTGCCTTCTATCATGGCAGCTTTTTGATTTGGAATTTTAGATATGCTTGCAGAGTTTTTAGTTTTTAAGAGGAACAGTGCAAATATTGCAAAGCTGGTTATAGCAGAGCTCTGGTTAGCAATGTTCTGTTTATCCACATTATAAGTATTGACATGTGGTCAGGGACTCTCACTTTTCCCGGATTAAGACCTGCATGGCAGTAGTTGGTTCTGTCTGTCAGGGTTTCCTGTTACTTAAATGGATGACTTATTTTCCTTTTGTTTTACATGCTCTCTCTCTCTCTTCCATTTTCTATGGCTAATGAGAGTTAAAGATTTTATGTCATTGCATTTTGAATTACTGGATATATGGATTTATGATCATCTGTCTTCTGGCTAAAATGTCTTAACTGGCTAATGACAACAATGAAAAAGTCAGATGTTGGCCATTTTGACTTTCCTGTTTCAAATGAAGCATTTTTTAAAAAACTTAAGTGTTGCTACTAAGGACTTTCACCTCATAAAGATGTTTAAAAAGTCTTAAAATGAACTTTCATTTATTGTACCTCTACTGTCTGTCCAGACTTGTATTAGAGAACATTATACAAAGAATAAAAATATGACAGCCCTTTCTCTCCAGTTTAGTCTGAGTCTTAACTGGGAAGACAATATGTACAACCAAGAGACGGATAAGCAAATTGTCTATTAGTAACCTGCTGCTAGGCCCATCAACACTTACCTTCCTGAAGTCTGTGATAGTCAAAAGATACTAGTTTTTAAAAGTAATAATACATACCACAAAAGCAAATACCAGAATGTTGAAATGGTCAGACTACTCTGTTGCTTATCATTGGCATATATTACTTGTTTAGTGGATTTCAGTCCATTCATATCAGGTATTTGGAGTATGTGTCTATATATTTTTTTCCCACCACATAAGGGGTGGTGAAAATGTTTCCTACCAGGTTTTGATTAAAAAAAAAATGGTACAAGCACTGATACTTTAACTTATAGATAAATTACAATAGTTTTTACTGAAATTGTCCTCATGGGAAACCAGTGTGTAGATTGTAATATGTGTTTTGGGGAGAACATCAATATTAGTCCTGGTAGGAAATACCATAGATGAGTATTTTGCAATGACAGCAACAGATGAATCTGAGATAAGCAAGTTGATTGTTAGGAAATCTAGCATTAAAGGGTCTTTTTTAGAAAAGCATAGTTTCCCTAGCAGTCAAAAGAATGAAAATTCATTGATGTAGTTGTCAAGGTTGGCCTTAGTATAAGTTTGGTAAATCTGGTATAACTCTGTAATTTTACATTTTGGAGGATGCTGGACGCTATCAACATTGTTTTTTAATTAGAGGTTTATATAGAAAATATGTATTCCAAGTCTGAATTATATAATGGCTCTCCATGGACGTGCTACACACCTATACTGCATAGCTGTTCATGCACCTCTTTTTATAATTCCCTCATTGTGGGATTGATGCTTCTCATTGTCACTGAGAAGTCAGTCCCACGCTCCCTGCTCAGTTTGTGTTGCATTTGCTCAGATCATTCACAGTTGCCTCATTTTTCCTTTTTCAACCCTCGTCCCTGACTGCTCTTCACTGTCCGGTCAAAATATTTAGTAGATACTACAGCTTAGAAGAGTGAGCATCCCTGTTATGTTATACTATTCCAAATTCAGGTTCCTTCTCCTACCCTGTTGGCATAAAGTGGGTCAGAGACAAGGATACACGTGCACATATACACTCACAAGTGTGCAGTGTAAATGCTAGAGTTCACAGATAGGATTGCTGCTTAGAATTTGTGGACCAAACAGTTCTCACTTTTTACCTGGTAAATTTCACTAGTATTGTAAATAGCAGAGAGAATAAATGATTTTAAAACTTTAAAATGACTTTGATTAAAGGTAAGTTGGCAAATGCAGAGTCTTGTGCCTTCTTTATTATAGTTGGCGTTTTATAAGGCAACCAGTGTGATTGCAAGAAAAACAACATCCATAGGTACAGAAAGGAAACATTTTATCTTTCATTTGTATGTTTCCTTGTAGGTCTTAGTATTTACCATTTAGATGTAAGCCTCATCAACAAAATGTTTCTACGTTTGGATTGATTTTTTTAAATATATAAGGATGTATGTAATAAAATAAATTGAGTGTAGAGAACATCTTAGGTTGTCAGAAGACTTGCATTTGAGCCTTAAGACTTAGAATGTGGTTTTCTCTTGCACCTGCTGTAAATTGGCTTTTTTGTTTTATAGCTGATTCCTTGGGCTTTCCTTGGTGTGATGCTTCATTGTCATTAAATTTTTATATCCCTGGTACCTGGAATAAATAAAAAACATCTTCATTTTACAGATAGAGAAACTAAAGTTTTACAGAGTGACCCAGTACATGAGATAAACATTTTGGCAACATCTTAATCTGTCTGGTATAAACATCCTTCCTGACTTTTTGGTATAATTAATAAAATTTCTTGAGAAAAGTCAAGTAAGTTCTAGAAGAACATATATGTTCTATTGCCATATTTCCTGCCCCTTGAAAAATAACATTTTTTTCTAAGTATTTGGCCCTAGGGAATGTAATACTGCTGTTTTGGGTAGAGATTCATATAAAAACATTTGATTTAGATAGTTTCTGTTAAACTCAAAAACTGTAGATACTTTTTTTGTTCTATTTCATTGGATTGAATTTCATTGGACTGAAAAATTGCTTGAAACAAACTCCTAGGGTTTGGAATGGTCATGGGTATAGTAGAAAGAGCATTGAATTTCAGACTAGGAAAGCTGAACTCTAGACCCCCTTCTGCCACTTCCTGACTGAAATGGTAGCAAGTCACTTAGCTTCTTCAAGCCTCAATTTTCTCATCTCTGCAGTGGAGGTAGCTATCTCATCCCTTCTCCCTGCTTAAGGTTATTAATGAGGACCAAAAGAAAATCATATATGCAAAAGGACTTTGGAACTCTAAGTGCTTCAGAAATGTTATTTTATAGTGAAATTTGCAGTGAAGATTTTACTTTAGCAAAAAATCTGAATGAAAGCATTTTAAAGGAAGTATAATTTCAAGTTTATAGCCAAGTTTTTAAAAGTGTTTCCCCCCTGGTGGGACCAGTTTATGCTAAAAACTCAGACTTGTATTTATCAATATTCATTTTCTTTCAAGCAATTTACTGAAGCACTACAAGTTTATTCCTAATATTCCCTCTTAAGTATTATTTCCTCAGAAACACTATAATTTAAATTTTATCTTGATATGGGACATGTAATAGAATTTGACCTATAAATATAATTTCTGTTCCCAAGGAGTTAGAACCTAGTGGGAAATCAAGATAGAAAATATGTTAACATAAAGAAGTGTACAGCAGTGTTAACATGAGATGGTGGAATGGATCTGTGTTCATCTTGTAGGGTTTTTTAAAAAGCTGGGGCTAATTGGGGAAAACTTTTGAAGAAAATGCTCCTTGAAGTTTGACTTAAAAGGATTATCTGGATAGTAAATAGAGATGAACATGCAAGTTTGTGTTTGTTTAAATAGAAAAATATTTGTGTACAGCCTAAGTATATATCCTTATGAAACTGGTTACGTTGGAACAACCAGTGGAATAATAGGTAGCCATTACTATTAAAACATAACTATTGGTCATGGAAAGATGTCCAGAATTTAGATTTAAGTGGGGAAAAAAGGTTTCAGAGCACTGTGTTCCTCTTTTTGTTAAGTGTAGACACATTAGAATGTTTATATATTTATGTTGGGAAATATTTGGGATAACATATACTAACCATGAATATATTTTTCCTTTAGCATTGTCTTATCTATAATCACATGTATGATTTACTTTTAAAAGCTGCATCTTACCATAAGAAATAAAGACATGGATAGGAGTTGAGTGGCAATAGGAAAGGGGTGAATTTTATACACGTGGCAGCATGAGCGAAGGCCTGGAGTAGACCTGAACCTGGTAGAATAGAGGGCGGAAGAGATCTGAGTTAACATTATGTCCTGTTTGTGCCCATCTTCTGTCTAAGTATTTGTGTGGCCTTCTTTGACCTAAAGAGCTGGTGGTCACATTTTTCTAATGAAACTATCTAATGAGGCCACGGTCACAGCCTCGACCTTTGGCACCTAACAGTCCATTGAAGAATGTTTTATGCAGTGTCTGTCCTTCATCCTTCCTAACTACACCTTAGCTCCATCATAACGTACCATCTTAAGAATAGTCTTGTGCAAGCAGCCAAATGTGCTTTTATGGTTTTGTTTTTCTGTCCTGATGTTGAGGATTGAAAAGGAAGATGACTACAAGGTGGGCATCTAAGTCTGTACCTGTAGCACTGGTTGGTTATGTATGCCTTTTATTACTATTTGAAAATCTTGTTTGTTTTAATAACAATTCTCTATGATATAAGAAAGAAAAGGACTCCCTAGGTATGTGAAGGAGATTTTGTCCTGCTGGGGTGACATTTTTCTAACATATAAGCAATATTAACGTAATGGTCCATTTAAAAGAGACCTGTTTTGTGTTGTCATACCTCTAGGTCCTGTTTTGTCTTCCTACCCTGAAACGTTTCAGGTAGAAAGCCTCAGGACATTGTTATGGCTGTTTGCAAGAGAGCATATGCCTTGAAATCACAAAAGAGTGCTAAAATGTTTTGTAAAGGACTGAGATATGATGCATTTTTTTAGGGTTGCAAATTTGATTACTATTATGTCTTGATAGTCTCAGATGGTGTTGTGTATTCTTTGAGAGCAGCACTATAATTTGTCATTAGTGAAATGAAATTTTTTTCTTTCTGTCTGTTCTACTAGGTCTCAGCATTAAAAACAATGGCCAGTCAGGGAGGACCCAAGTATACTCTTTCACAGCAGCCTTGGGCACAACCAGGTATTCACATGTTACTATTTGGGATTTCTTTTTTTAGGGTGTTGATTAATTTACATTTATATAGTCCTTGCTCTTGAAGGCCAGGAGTTTTCTACTCCTACTGTGGGTTCAGTTAATACAAGATGTGGTTTGTAGCTGACAGGTCTTAATTGGCCAACACTACTTGCATTTCAGCAAGCATTCCAAGGAAGGAAGAATTAAAACACACATACACTCAGACACCCAATTAAAAATAAAACTTGGCTTAGAGGGAAAAATTTTGAGTCTGCTGGTTTTTCTGTATACCCTTTTTTCATTGTGTTAGAGCTTTGATGAAAATACTGTATTTGATAGTATTAAATTTTGGAGAGAATGTTACTTTTTACAAAAAGTAAACAAAGAAATGTTGGGCTATTATTTTGTTTCACATTTTATGTAAGCTATCCCCTCTGTTAACGGTTTTTTTACAGTGTTTCCAAAAAAAATTAAAAAAATTTGGTAGGCGATAACACTGCTGATTGGCAGATATGTCTGAGATTTTGAGGTGTTTCCAATGTTTCTCTTTCAATTTTTTATTTTTGAAGTATCATTGATATACAGCCTTATATTGGTTTCAAATACACAACACAGTGGTTCAACAATTACTCATATTATTAAATCCTCATCCCCTCTAGTGCGGTTACTATCTATCAACATGGAAAGATGTTACAGAATCATTGACCATATTCTCTATGCTGTACTACCTTCCTGTCACCAACATATATTGTGATTGTGAATTACTGTGCCCCTTTATCCCCCTCCCCCTCCCCCCACAACCCTGATCCAACCCCTCCCCCTTGGTTTACTAGTCACTTCTCAATGTCTATGAGTCTACTGCTGTTTTGTTCCTTCTGTTTTGATTTGTTTTTATATTCCACAAATAAGTGAAATCATATGGTATTTGTTTTTCTCCTGGTTTATTTCACTGAGCATAATACTCTCTAGATCCATCCTTGTTGCAAATGGCAGGATTTCTTTTTTTATGGCTGAATAATGTTCCATTGTGTGTATGTACCACATCTTCCTTATTCATTCATCTATTGATGGACTTACTCTTTCTTACTATAAAATTTTTTTTTTCTGCTAGAGGGTTGTAGTTTTTTGTGTGTGTCTTTAGCATTAGATGTTAAACATTTGAAATCATGAGTCAGCATCTTATGGGTTTTTATTTTTGGCATATTTTGTAGCATTTTCAGTTGCCATTAAATCAGAATATATCATTTTGTTAGATTGGTATTTCTGGCCATTCTCTGGCCCATATTGTGGTAGAGATCTTTTGAAACCCAAAAGGGCAAAAATGACTGAAGAATTAGTGTTTTAATTATGGGTAAGCTGTGTCCATGTTGATAGGGCAACTTTTTGCTCATAGTGAGAGAGATCCAAAGAATGATTCTGGTTCAGTGTCCATAAAAAATTAATTGTCTACGAGCCTCTAATTTGGTACAAGGGTTTTAATGTGATTGGCTTTCCATATTGAAAGAATATTATGTTTATCAGGTATTTATTTTTTTTGGGAAATAGAATTGAGGCCATTCTAAAATTCTCAGTTATTATAATGCCTCAAGTTAATATGACTACAACTAAGAAGTTGAAAGAGTAGCTATGTATCTTATAGGAAGATTTGTAAATGTAGAAAATTATTAATTGTCTTTTTGAAAGACTGGATTTTATTTCAAAAATTCATCATGTTGAACTTTGATGTTAATATAGGTTTGCAGTATTTTGCTTTATTGCAAATAAACTTTGTTTGACATGCTGTAGGCCTTTTGTTCACTGTGATGGAGACATTGAGTGTTCTATTGTTTTTATTATCTTAAACTTCCGTACTGTGTATGAGATTGAAATCTTTGACATTTAACTAAAGGAGAGAGAGCATACTTGATGCAGTAGTATATTCTGTCAGAAACAGGAAACCAGTTCTTTTACTGATAATACTGGTGATAATACTAACTTTAGTTGGCCATGGTGGTGACCACCTGTTCTGCCCCTTTACAGTCAGGAACAGACTTGTCACTCCATAACTCAGCATGGTTCTAGAAGGAATTCCAGTCATCATTGGATTAATTAGGCCTTTGGCTCAAGGTTTCAGTGATTTATAGGGCTTATTTAGAAATAGAAACTGATTTTAGTTTGAATGCTTATGTAAGTGAAACTCTTGGGTGTAATAATCTTTCTGAAAATATGTGGATACCAACTGATAGGCACAGGTGTATTTAGTACAGTTAACCCCAAAGAGTTCATGCACAATTAATGTATTTTTCTTTCCTCTTTGAAAAGATCCTCTTTCACTCAAAATAGGGCTGTCATTTCCTCCAGGAGAATCCTAATAGAGCTCCCAGCTTTAGCCGTATTGCGCTCTTAAGCACTACTAGAGAAGTCATTAGTAAAGCAGGAGTAGATGACAGGAAACTGACAAAAGGAAAGATTGAAATAGGCCTTGCTCTTTTGTCATTTAGCCTGTTTTGTGTGTAAGGCAGTGACACTTCAGTTTACTTGGTTATTGTATCTTCTGTCTTGTTCAGCCACACAGAGTTGCTTTTTCTTGATCTGTAATGCAGGAAACTTGTACTTAAAGTCAAAGAGAGATTTGGGGGCCATTGAGGTGGGAGCCTCAAGAACAGTCTAGGGACTTGTCTTGGACCCCTGGAAACCATTACTCATTCATGCCGAGTTAACTCAGGTTCTTGGAGGTCATTTCATGATAAACCCATAGGATATTAAGGTACAAGTTAGGATGCCAATTTCTTTACTCTGGGAAATACACCTTTTTTAGAAACTAGAGGTCCATTTATTCACTAGGCTTCCTACCCATTGTTTGGTTATCAAGGGCTCTGAAAACTGATTCAGTGATTCCTGAGCGTGTCAGTGATGACAGCACTGGAGCCCATGGAATTAAGTATCTTAAAGGAGCTTTCATCTATTTTATGAAAAATAAGTAGTTCCTGGATTGTTTGTTCTGTCTTCTTGAGAGCATCGATTCTTTCTTACCCTGCTTTAACACAACCCACCTCGATTACAAAAATGTTTTTTTAACATGGTGTAAAATTTGAAAAGTATAAAATGAAAAAAATGTTCTTTACCTCCAAACTAGTTCTCTCAAAAGTAACCACTCTTAATGGTTTCTTTCTCAAAACTGTTTATATATATACTAGCATATGTGGACTTTAAAAATGTTATGCAAATAAGATTATACTATATTCCTTGCATTTTTAACTTACTCTGCCTTGGAGCCCTTTCCATACCAGCATATCCAGCTCTACCCATTCTATTTAATGGATTTACAGAATTCATCACTGCAACACAATTTCTTTAATGATTCTATTGAAGGATATTTATAGTTTTTAGTTTTTGTTTTTCCATATACTCTTTAATAAAAGTTCCTGCACCATACTTATCTTGGTATATCCTTAAGGTAAAATTCTAGCAATAGAAACGTTAAGTGAAAGAGTGTGTGTACTTTCACTCTTTCGCTAGATATTGCCTAGTATCCCTTCAAAGAGGACCAACCAGTTTATGCTCCCGTCCACAGTGGATGTGGGTGCCTGTTTACCTACACCCTTGCAAATGTGGATACTCACAATTTTAGTAATTTTTACCAATCCCAAAATACCTCAGTTGTTTCAATATGCTTTTTTCTTTAGTTAGGAGTGACATTGAGCATCTTTGGAAGTATTAATCTGTCTTTTCCTTTGTAGCTTTCTAGGTAATTTCCTCTTTTAAATACTTCATACAGATGACTGCTCTTCTTTTCCATTTGCACTTCTTGTCAGACAGCACATCTGGCCTACATAGTTATTTCAGTTACAATTTTCTGTAATTCTATTCCTGTTCTGATAATATAGTTTAAGAATATAACAAATGGATTTTTAGTTGCTATTAAATATATGTGGATATTTTAAGAATGATCTCATAAGACAGTATCTCTTACTGTGAGTCAGTTCTGCAAGTGAATAAGCTCATTCATTGTGAACTAGTTCAACTAGTGTCTCTCTGCAAGTGACTTTTTATTTTACCTTAACTCTTATCTCCAAAATCTAAGAGCACCATAATTACAGTCTCTGTGAATGTCCTGAAGCATGCTGGGAGGATTTTTTTGCTGTCTTAGCCCCTGGGATTATAATTTTGTATTTAGTAGATCCTTAATAAATGGGACTCATGACTAAACTTGATAAATAAGCAAGAGAAATGAAAGAATTCTTTGGGGAAATAAAAAGTCTTGTCTTTTGTTGTTTTGCTCCCCCTTCATTCCATTCGGAATTAAAGTGAAAATGTTTCCTCTCTTTTTTGTGAGACTAAACGTTAATTTCTTTCCAGCAAAGGTCACTGACCTTGTGACAAGTGCCTACAAGACAATAAAAGCTAAGCTACCTGGGACATTGAGAAGTATGTCATTGTACCTATCCAATAAAGATACAGAGTTCATCTTGTTTAAACCTGTTAGGGTGAGTACTCTGATAATTTATTTGAATGTTGACCATCTCTTCAAGTGTTCTTGCCTTGTCTGCTGTTTTCCTCTTCCTAGAGATATTTTAAAATGCTGGTGTACTATTTGAATTAGCTTGGTTAATAATCACTGTGATTCTTGAAAGGCTTACAAAGCCTGTGTCCAATTTTTTTTCCGTCCATCTTCACTTTGTCTTAAGTTCTCTGTGTTACCTTTGGCACCAAGGTAATTTTCATCTTAAAGTAAAATAATAAAAGCCAGACCCTCACACTGAATGTTGCTCAGTACTTGAGAAAGCAGCATTTCAGGAATTATACCCTATGTTACTGGTGAGCAGTAGAAATAAATGGCTTCTAGAACCCATCAAGGGATTAAATTTCAGAGCAAATTTAGTACTCATAACTTGCAGCTCTGTGTTGAGCTCACATCTTTACCCCAGTGTTGGTTGATTTTTAAAGTACATTTTGTGTGTCTGGGAACTTTATTATCTTTTATGTAAGAAACTACTGCTGAAGACAATATTCTTTTATGGGGGACAGAGCTTGCCAGAGTTGAGTTTTTCCAGGAGGTATTATCTGATAAGTATTAGTTGGGTTGTAGTAGCATGTGAAATATTCATTGCAAATTATATATTTGCTTTCAGTAAGCCCACAAAAGATAAATTTCTTCCACTCATTTTGGCAAATATCATTTAAGATTTAACTTTATTAGTGCTTCATGCTTAAGATGACTGCATGTTTTCAGTGACTCATTTGATTGCTTCTTCTTTTTTCTAAGAATAATATTCAGCAAGCTTTCCAGAAGTTCCATGTTTTGTTAAAGGAAGAATTCAGCCCTGAAGATATCCAGATCATTGCTTGTCCTTCTATGGAACAGGTAATCCGTAGTCTAAAGATCCTCGTTACTTTTATTTCCTCTTGCTTATTTTACTTAAGTAGATAATGTCTTTGAGTAACCATGTTTTTAATTTTTTAAATTTATTTATTTTGGTATAATTAATCTACAATTACATGAGGAACAGTATGTTCACTAGACTCCCCCCTTCACCAAGTCCCCCCCACAAGCCCCATTACAGTCACTGTCCATCAGTGTAGTAAGATGCTGTAGAATCACTACTTGTCTTTTCTGTGTTGCACAGCCCTCCCCATGCCTCTCCCCACATTACAGATGCTAATCGTAATGCCCCCTTTCTTCCCCTCCTTCCCCCCTTATCCCTCCCTTCCCACCCATCTTCCCCAGTCCCTTTCCCTTTGGTAACTGTTAGTCCATTCTTGGGTTCTGTGATTCTGCTGCTGTTTTGTTCCTTCAGTTTTTTCTTTGTTCTTACTCCACATATGAGTGAAATAATTTGTTACTTCTCTTTCTCCACCTCCCTTATTTCACTGAGCATAATACCCTCTATCTCCATCCATGTTGTTGCAAATGGTAGGATTTGTTTTCTTCTTATGGATGAATAATATTCCATTGTGTTTATGTACCACAGCTCCTTTATCCATTCATCTACTGATGGACACTTAGGTTGATTCCATTTCTTGGCTATTATAAATAGTGCTGTGATAAACATAGGGGTGCATCTGTCTTTTTCAAAGTGGGCTGCTGCATTCTTAGGGTAAATTCCTAGAAGTGGAATTCCTGAGTCAAATGGTATTTCTATTTTGAGCTTTTTGAGGAACCTCCATACTGTTTTCCACAATGGTTGAACTAATTTACATTCCCACCAGCAGTGTAGGAGGGTTCCCCTTTCTCCACAACCTCGCCAACATTTGTTGTTGTTTGTCTTTTTAATGGTAGCCATCCTTACTGGTGTGAGATGGTATCTCATTGTGATTTTAATTTGCATTTCTCTGATGACAAGCAATGTGGAGCATCTTTTCATGTGTCTGTTGGCCATCTGAATTTCTTCTTTGGTGAACTGTGTGTTCAGCTTCTCTGACCATTTTTTAATTGGATTATTTGCTTTTTGTTTGTTGATGTGTGTGGAGCTTTTGGATGTCAACCCTTTATCAGATCTGTCATTTATGAATATATTCTCCCATA